CGCAGTGCGGTAGGGGAAGAGACGGTAGTAAGGCACCGACTCGTCAAAGGTGACGTCCTGGGAGGACAGAACACGGCGCGAGGTGGGGTGGTAAAACTGCCACCCAGGCGCGTCAGGAGGGAAGCCAAGGAAGACGCAGGGAACAGCACGCGGGGACAGCTTGTCCGCAGACAAGTCGCAGACAAACGCCCGAGATCCCCAGACCCGAAACGCAGACGCATCGCCAACCTTCCCGGTCCACCGCAAGGCGGGGGAGGTCTCTGGCTGAAGGTTGAGCTGATGCGCGGCGTACTGAACCGCAAACGGCCACAGAAAATGGGGGGCAGCCGCATGCATCATGGACGTTCGAGCGACGTCCATGACCATGCCAATGCGGCGCTCAGCAATCCCATTTTGCTGTGGAGAGGCCGGAAGCGTGAAGGTATGGCGGATGCCCTGTGCACGACAGAAAGCTCCCAGACGCGCAGAGGAAAACTCTCCGCCTCTGTCCGACTGCAGACGCAGAACAGCAAGGTCCGAGCCGAAACTCTCTCTGAGCTGGAGACGAGCTGCGCGGATCCAGTCGATCAACACCTCAGTGACGTCACCCTTGCTGCGCAAGGGGAAGACTGTGGTGTAACGCGAGTAGTCGTCAACCACCAGCAGGAAGTACCGCTCGTGCCCCTGCCCACTGACGCGGGCTGGGCCCCACAGGTCCATGTGGAGAGTCTGCAGCGGAGTCTCTGTCGGAGGAAACTCGGAGGAGTGAGGGGCGGCGCGCTGTCGCCCCTCGACGCAGGGGACGTAGGTAGGGCCAGGCCCCGGCGGTAGGGTAGGGAGAGACCGAGGGAGACCAGAGACAAGGACACGGGAGGCCATGCCTCGGAGACGAGGCAGGGAGGGGTGACCAAGGCGGTGGTGCCAGAGGAGAGTTTGGTGGGACAGCAGAAGACACGAGCAGGGAGCAGACTCAGGACCAGACCTGGACGCTGCAGCAAACACCTGACTCGACGTAGCTACCTGGGCAGACTCAGCAGCCGGAGGAGACTCAGTAGTATGGGTGTACAGGCTCGACCCTGGCCGACGGGTGAACGTGGCCAAGTGTCGGCATGTCCGAGCACACGTGCAGTGGGTCACCCACTGACTCTCAGGAGTGAACTGGTCAGCCCCCCTATCCTGTAGGTCCGCTCCACTCACCAAGTTCGTAGAGAACGAGGGGAGGTGGAGACCTGACAGGGTGCCAGAGGGGGCTGCCGGGCACGGTAAGACAGTGGAGAAGCTAGCAAGGACACGACCCCCAGAGGGGTCCGCCAAGGAGACTGCAACCTACCGACTGAGTGGCGTAAGAGTGGTGCGGTCTCGAAAGAAGGAGCGGGACGCACCCGAGTCAAGGGTGAAGGTGTGGAAGGCCTGAGCCGATGTAGTACCTGAGAGCGCAGACTCACCAGCACCTGGGGCAGCAGACGCACTAGCATATGGGGCAGCTGACGTACTAGCACCTAGAGCAGTAGCCTCACCAGCACCTAGAGCAGCGGCCTCAGTGCCCGGGTCAGGCGGTACACATAGGTAACAGTCACCCGCAACACTAGTATCAACAGCATACATAGCAGCAAGAGTAGCATCAAAGTCAAGATCAAAGATAGCAGCCCCGGCCTTAGACAGATCTCCCCAGCGAGGGATCTCTGACGCCGAAGGGAACTGGCGACGCCACGCGTCCGTCAGGCAACCGAAGCAACGCTGGGTGGAGTGCGGGCCCCCGCACTGCTCACCAGCTCGGTCGCCGGTACGGAGGACGTAAGTGCAGGGACCAAAACCCCCACCGCGCTGACGCGCAGTGTACCACTCACAAAGCTGCTGAGGGGACAGGGTCACACCACTCCGCTGCTGCTGGCGCGGACCACGAGCTGAGCCACTCCTCTGCGCAGAGTCACGACCCGCTCCACCGCCGCCGCCGCCGCCGCCTCCACCTCCTCCTCCACCTCCCCCTCCTCCGCCACCTTCGCCGCCTCCGCTCCCTCAGCCACCTCCACCGCCTCCGCCGCCTCCACTGCTACCGCCGCCTCCGCCACCCCCGGCACCACTCCCACCACCACCCCCACTCCCTCCACTGCCTCCACCACCACCTCCACCGCCCCCTCCAGCCCCTCCAGTGCCCTTGCCCCCCTTGCCCTTGCCGCTGCGGCGTTCCCTGCTAGGGGCAGACGTAGCGCCGACCGACTCGAAACCAACGAGGTCGGTCGCAGCAGAAGAGGCAACAGAGGGCAAGAGGGGGGAGGGAGAACACCCCTCAAAGACGGGGGTGCGAGGGTCACCACGAGAGGCTCCTACAGCGACTATGCTCGTCTCTATCGCTAGGATGGCCTTCTCGAGGAGGTCAACGTTGAGAGTGGTGGGGCAAACTGAGAGGAAGTGGTCCCTGACTACGCGGAGAGAGTCAGGGAGCCGGGTGACTATGTAGTAGAGAGTGATGTACATGGGAGGGGGGGGTTCTTGGCGCAGAACTCAGCAGGAAGCGCAGCGCGGTAGCGAGTGTCACTAGTGCGGAGGTGCGTAATGAGGTCAGCGATTGTGGGAAAGGCAGCAAGGTGAGGGAAGAGGTACGGTAGCATGAGGCGGCTCAGTGAAGCAGTGGCATGGGAAGAGTAGCGTGCAACTACAGCGTCGTACAAGGTCCGAGCACTCTTGTACTGGCTAAAGTGTGCACGCTCAGTGGTCGGTAAGTGGCGGCGCACAGCAAGGCGAGCAGCAGCATCACGCGTGGCCCACTGTGAGCAAACAGTGGTGCCAGCATCAGCAACAGGGGCAGGAGAGGCACCAGAAGTGAGGTCAAACAGGGAGAGACCGTCTACCCTATCGCACTCTAGGAAAAGCTGCAGATCATCTACCCAGACCTCAAAGTCAACTGCCCGACCCTCAGTGTCAAAGGTGAGAACACTAGGGGAGGCCATGGCACCAGTAGACAGGCAGTGAGTACAGTGGGGCAGGGCAGTGCAGTGGCAGAGACGCTGCTCTTACCAGACAAGTGGCGCGGTCCCAGGCAGGCCGACAGGCGGTAGCGCCTCGGCTGCGGCGCGGCTCGGCGGCTCTGCGGCTCGGCTGCTGGGCGGCTCCGTGGTTGGGCGGCTCGGCTTCTGGGCGGCTCGACTGTCGGGCGGCTTGACTGGAGGGCGGCTCGGTGGTCGGGCGGCTCGACTGCTGGGCGGCTCGGCGGTCGGGCGGCTCGGCGGCTCGGTAGCTGGGCTGCTCGGCGGCTAGGGCGCTGGGTGGCTGAGCGGCGACAAAGCCGTGGAAGGGCGCCGACAGGGCCGCTGAAAGGGCGGCAACAGGCCGCTGAAAGGGCGGCGACGGGCCGCTGAAAGGGCGGCGACGGGCCGCTGGAAGGGCGGCGACGGGGCCGCTGAAAGGGCGGGCAACGACAAGGCCGCTGAAAGGGCGGGCAACGGGGCTGCTGAAGGGGCGGGCGGCGAGGCCGTGGAAGGGCGGCGACGGGGCCGTGGAAGGGCGGCGACGGGACCGCTGAAAGGGTGGGGACGGGGCCGCTGAAAGGCGGCGACGTGGCCGCAGGAAAGGGCGGCGACGGGGTCGCTTAAAGGGCGGCACAACGGGGCCGCAAGGGCGGCGCGACGAGGCCGCAAGGGCAACGCGATGGGGCCGAAAGGGCGGCGCGACGGGGTCGTTAGGGGCGGCTAGAGGCTGCTAGAGGGGGAACGACTCGGGGCGCGACTACGGAAGTAGCCAAGTGTGCTGCGGGCAGGAAAAAAAAGGTCGGTGGGCCCTAGGAACAGTTCCCATGAGGGAACAAGCTCTATACCATACGAAGATTGAAACGAGAGAATGATTGAACTATGAAAGCGTTGGGTACAAGTACTAACCCTAATTGGGTTGTACCCCTTATGGGCTACCCCACTACAGCCTACACAACTGTATAAGCTATAATGTTCTAACAAGTCCAAGCCGAAACTCTCCCTGAGCTGAAGGCGAGCTGCGCGGATCCAATCGATCAACACCTCAGTGACGTCACCTTGCTGCGCAAGGGGAAGACTGTGGTGTAACGCGAGAAGTCGTCAAACACCAGCAGGAAGTACCGCTCGCGCCCCTACCCACTGATGCGGGCGGGGCCCCACACGTCCATCTGGAGAGTCTGCAGCGGAGCCTCTATCGGAGGAATCTCGGAGGAGTGAGGGGCAGCGCGCTGTCGCCCCTCGACGCAGGGGACGCAGGTAGGGCCAGGCCCCGGAGGTAGGGGAGGGAGAGACCGAGGGAGACCAGAGACAAGGACACGGGAGGCCATGCCTCGGAGACGAGGCAGTGAGTGGTGACCAAGGCGGTGGTGCCAAAGGAGAGTCTGGTGGGACAGGAGACGACACGAGCAGGGAGCAGAATCAGGACCAGACCTGGACGCTGCAGCAAACACCTGACTCGACGCAGCTACCTGGGCAGACTCAGCAGCCGGAGAAGACTCAGTAGTATGGGTGTACAGGCTCGACCCTGGCCGACGGGTGAACGTGGCCAAGTGTCGGCATGTCCGAGCACACGTGCAGTGGGTCACCCACTGACTCTCAGGAGTGAACTGGTCTACCCCCCTACCATGTAGGTCCGCTCCACTCACCAAGTTCGTAGAGAACGAGGGGAGGTAGAGACCTGACAGGGTGCCAGAGGGGGTTGCCGGGCACGGTAAGACAGTGGAGAAGCTAGCAAGGACACGACCGCCAGAGGGGTCCGCCAGGGAGACTGCAACCTGCCGACTGAGCGGCGTAAGAGTGGTGCGGTCTTGAAAGAAGGAGCGGGACGAACCCGAGTCAAGGGTGAAGGTGTGGAAGGCATGAGCCGACGTAGTACCTGAGAGCGCAGACTCACTAGCACCTGGGGCAGCAAACGCACTAGCACCTGGGGCAGCACACGCACCAGCACCTAGAGCAGCAGCCTCAATGCCCGGGTCAAGCAGTACACACAGGTAATAATCACCTGCAACACTACCATCAACAGCATATATGGCAGCAAGAATAGCATCAAAATCAAGATCAAAGATAGCAACCCCCGCCCTAGACAGCTCTCCCAGCGAGAGATCTCAGAGGCCCCAGGGAACTGGTGATGCCACGCGTCCGTCAGGCAGCCGAAGCAGCGCTGGGTGGAGTGCGGGCCCCCGCACAGCTCACTAGCGCGGTCGCCGGTGCGGAGAATGTAGGTGCAGGGACCCGTACCCCCACCGCGCTGACGCGCTGCGTACCACTCACGAGGCTGCTGAGGGGACAGGGTCTCATGACTGCTCTGCTGCTGCTGGCGCGTACCACCACCGGAGCCACTCCTTTGCGCAGAGCCGCGACCAGGTCCACTGCTGCCGCCACCGCCTTCGCCGCCTCCTCCACCTCCGCCTCCTCCGCCACCTCCGCCGCCTCCGCTCCCTCCGCCACCACCGCCACCTCCTTCGCCTCCACTTCTTCCGCCGCCGCCGCCACCCCTGCCACCACTCCCACCACCACCCCCACCCCCTCCACTGCCTCCACCACCACCTCCACCGACCCCGCCAGCCCCTCCAGCGCCCTTGCCCCCCTTGCCCTTGCCGATGCGGCGTCTCCCGCTAGGGGCAGACGCAGCGCCCACCCCGGAGAAACCAACGAGGTCGGCCGCAGCAGCAGAAGCAACAGAGAGCAAGAGGGGGGAGGGGGAACACCCCTCAAAGACGGGGGTGCGAGGGTCACCACGAGAGGCTCCTACAGCGACTATGCTCTTCTCTGCTGCTAGGAGGCCCTTCTCAAGGAGGTCAACGGTGAGAGTGGTGGGGCAAACTGAGAGGAAGTGGTCCGTGACTACGCGAAGAGAGTCAGGGAGCCGGGTGACTATGTAGTAGAGGGTGATGTACATGGGGGGGGGGGTGGGTTGTTGGCGCAGAACTCAGCAGGAAGCGCAGCGCGGTAGCGAGTGTCACTAGTGCGGAGGTGCGTAATGAGGTCAGCGACTGTGGGAAAGGCAGCAAGGTCAAGGAAGAGGTACGGTAGCATGAGGCGGCTCGGTGCAGCAGTGGCAGGGGAAGAGTAGCGTGCAACTATAGCGTCGTACAAGGTCTGAGCACTCTTGTACTGGCTAAAGTGTGCACGCTCAGTGGTTGGTAAGTGGCGACGCACAGCAAGGCGAGCAGTAGCATCGCGTGTTGCCCACTGTGAGCGAACAGTGCTGTCAGCAGTAGCAGGCGGGGCAGGAGAGACACCAGAGGTGAGATCGAACAGAGAGAGTCTGTCTGCCCTATTGCACTGGAGAAACAGCTGGAGGTCATCGACCCAGACCTCAAAGTCAACGGCACGGCCCTCAGCATCAAAAGTAAGGACACTGGGGGTAGCCATGACTGTAGTGGCCTAGAAGGAAGTGAGCTCACCAGTCCGAGGAAGGAGGGTCGGGGAGCACCGGTAGGAACAGCAGCGGCTCGGCGGCTCTGCGGCAGGGCGGCTCGGCTGCTGGGCGGCTCGGCTGCTGGGCGGCTCGGCGGCAGGGCGGCTCGGCTGCTTGGCGGCTCGGCGGCAGGGCGGCTCGGCCACTGGGCGGCTCGGCTGCTCGGCGGCTCGGCTGTTGGGCGGCTCGACTGCTCGGCAGGTGGGCGGCTCGGCTGCTGGGCTGCTCGGCGGCTCGGTCGCTGGGCGGCTGAGCGGTGACAGGGCCGCTAGGGGAGGGCGATGGGGCCACAGGTGACGGCGACGGGGCCGTAGGTGGCGGCGAGGCCGCAGGTGGCGGCTGCGTGGCCGCAGGTGGCAGCGACGGGGCCGCAGGTGGTGGCGACGGGGCCGCTGGTGGCGGCGACGGGGCCGCACGTGGCGGCGACGGGGCCGCAAGGGGTCTAGACGGGGCCGCGGAGGGGTCGTAAGGGGCCTAGACGGGGCCGTAGCGGGGCCGCAAGGGGCCTAGACGGGGCCGCGGAGGGGCCGTAAGGGGCCTAGACGGGGCCGTAGCGGGGCCGCAAGGGGCCTAGACGGGGCCGCGGAGGGGCCGTAAGGGGCCTAGGCGGGGCCGTAGCGGGGTCGTAAGGGGCCTAGACGGGGCCGAAGAGGGGCCTCAAGAGGCCTAAACGGGGCGGCGACGGGGCCGTAAGGGGCTGGAAAGGGCGCCGCGAGGGGCCGAAAGGGGCCGCACGAGGGCCGTAAGGGCGACGCGAGGGGCCTGAAGGGGCCGTAAGGGCGGCGCGAGGGGCCGTAGAGGGCGGCGCTAGGGGCCGTAAGGGCGGCGCGAGGGGCCGTAAGGGCGGCCAAAGGGGCCGTGAGAGGGGCCACTAAGGGCGGCTCGATGGTAGGGAGGGCACACAGAGCGCGACTCGGGAAGGAGTGAAGAGCGCTCCGGGTAGGAAAAAAAAAGTATCGTGGTGGGCCCTAGGTAGCGTTCCCACTAGGGAACTTGCTCAATACCATGTCGATAAACGAGAATGAATGCATTGAGCAGAATGAGGAGTACAAGTGGTAAACCCTAAAGTGTTGTACCCCATATGAACTGCCCCACTACAGCCTACAGAGACTATAGCATATATGCCTGACAGATCTTCCCATATCGAACGGAAATTGGCGCTCCACGTCAGCTTGGCTTCATTGCCATACGGGTTGCGGATATCCCGCTTCTCATCAGCCTCGAGGTGCCCCCAGCTGTTGTTGCCAGTTTTCCGCTTCCCCTTAGGGCGCGTAACTATTTTGCACCCGATGGAATGAACCGTGGACCGTCCGTCGTGGCGAAGGGTTACCATTTTCGTTTAATGTCGTTCAGTTCTTCGCGAGGACGTTTGCGACGTCGCTAACAATTCGAACTGTCATGACACTTTTTCCGCTTTCCAAGGACACAAAACTCTGACATCGGACTGTCCGAATCACAAACGGAATGTCCGCCTGTCCGCGCACGCGATTGGCGGGCGAAATTGAATTTCAGCGGACCGCCTCGCCAAAAAATGCGACTCGGGTGCAAAGATTGACATTGACCAATCACAACTAGCCACACTACAATACAAGAAGCCACGACATTGACCCACTACTCATCAGTACCCACCTCTCTGCACAATGGATCCCTCTAGCTACGCCCAGAACACCCAGTCTGACAACACCACTCCCAACTCCCCGCCACCAGGCTCTACCAATACTACCACTCCTGCCACAACTGTTCCCGAAACACAAGAGTCCCAGATACCTGGTCCTTCTGACATTGAATGGGCTTGGTTTGGACGGCCTTTGTGCTTGTTTGACATTTCCTATGTTTGTCCGAAGCGCTGAACTCAACTGGCAAAAATTGCGATGGGTTGTGACTGACGTTACTGGTGTACATTTGAGATGGCGAAGGGAAAACCATCGCGAAACCCTAGCATGTGGAAAAAGTGTCACATCTGCCTTCGGACAGTCCGAAGTTGCAAACATTCAAATCGGACAGTCCGTTTCGTTATAAACGTACAGTCCGATTCCATATAATCGGACGGTACGTCAAAAACTAAAAATGCAAAATGGTTACGCGCCCTTACCCCCTTGCATGCGCGCCCTAGCATTGTACACTTTGATGTGCCGATTGAAAGTCCTCCTGATCACCCTCTTGTGTTGAATACGTTCTTGCCAGAAAATTGCCCTGCATCTTTCCAGCCAATCCGAAAAGCAGGTCCCCCACTGAGCTACACCGATGCTTGAAACTTCCCGACCACTTTCTCCACCGCCGGACAGCTGAAAGACAGTGGATCATGCTCTCTACATCACCACAATGCGGGCACTTCGCCCTCTCACCCAAGAAGGGCAGTATGGTGCCCACTTGCAGGTTCCGACTGTTGAAGAACTTCCCGCGACCTCACCGGTACCACTAACGAGTCTCTGCGTGCAATAACCTTCTTCCACTCGACCCATCTCCCCAGCTCCTCCTCCTCCCAGGCCATCTGCTGCTTTGGTTGCTTGGCTGCCTCTCTGATGCCCTTGCGGATCTCTTTGAGCGGCGTGGGTTTTCCCCCTTTGCACAAGAACGATTCTTTCAGGCGAGTTAGGTGTAGCCCCATCTGCCCTACCCGCACTCCATCCGCCACCCTCCAGAGCGTTACCCTGTTAAGATATGGAATTGTTAAATAACATTCCTAAAGTAACAAACCCTTAACGCAAAGATGACTGCAGCAAGGATGAAGACCGAGCGACACATACAGTTATCGAAGACAATTGAAAGCATGAAGAATCCGAAGTGCAAAGCGCGGGAAATCTTTCAAACTGTTACCGTGGCGCGTACAGTTACCGAAGCACGTGGTTGGTTTTTCGAGTTAGATAAGCCATACGGGGAATGTACCCCCTAAGAATACATGGCTAGCTATGACCTTATGTATTCCACTGTATTCCTATATAAACCCTTGTACCGCATTGTGTTAGTCACTTCTATCGAGACGGAGTCCGTATCGGACATCACCTTCTTTCTCCTCCTTCTGACGGAGTCCGTACCCGACAGCACCAATCAATCTTCCGTTGCTACACTACGTGCGATCATCCTGAGATGATCTTATTAACACAGTTTAGATTGTAACATGGTATGAGAGCAAATCAGGATTCTTCGCATCGCCACCTCTGATTCAAATTAAATTAAGGTGGCGTTCGGTACCCCGCTCCCGCCGAAACATGGCTGGAGGATCTGGCGGACAAGCGGCTCCCACTGCTAAAGCCCCCGCCAACCCTATCGCGAACTCCGCGGACAGCACCACCATCAGCAATGTGCTCCTGGAACAACTCATTCGGCGAATCACTACACTAGAATTGAGAATTAGCAACTGAAGAGCAGCAACCCGGGAACTTCGCAACAACCTGATCAACTGGCTGTTCCAAACAATGAACCAAGCCCAACCACTTTCGATCTTGGATCGAATTCTTCTGCTCCAACCACTTCCCGCCCAAGTGATGAAGCTATTCTCACAGCTCATAACAAGTTTCTGACCATCTCTAAAATTTGCACCATGATCGCCTTCAGCGGGCCAGACTTGCACACGTGGAGCTTCGAGCTCGAATTACTTCAAGTGCACATAATTTTCGCTACTTCGACGGAAGCTACGCCGGCCCCGCCAGCAACACTAACGAAACAATATTACAACAAGTCGCTTATGGTGTATAACATTCTTCTCCGCAACATGGCGCCAATCGAACAACCTGGCATTCGCCCTTCCAAAACTCACACAGCCCTTGTCATGGTTGCCTAGAGCTATCTCACCAAAACTTACCAACCTAAGGACTCCCTCTCCTCCATGCGCTTGCTCCATCAACTCATGGAAGTCAAAATGTTGCCAGGCAAAAAGGCAAACGCCTACATCAACCGCTGCCGCAGCGTCCGTTACCAGCTCGTGAAGCTCGGAAGTTCCATCCCCGAAGACATGTTCATCACTATCATGCTTCGCGACATGGGACCTTAGTGGAACCCCTGCAAAGCCCTACTCCACCAACAAGGCATAATCTTTGAAGCGCATCTCTGTGCCACCTTGCTGCACGAGCAACAAGACATGGATTTCAACCTAGAAAATGGGCGCGCCGCGAGCAAATCGCCCCACCGCAATCAACGACGACCCCGCGACCCTCGCCCACGCCACTATTGCTGCACAAATTGCAAGACCTTCGGACACTCCACAGAACGCTACCGATCCGGCCCATGACAAGACTTCTAGCCGCGCAACAACTCTGCCAACGGTCCCGACGACACGCGCCAGGCAAGCCGGCCGTCTTTGGACCATCGCTCTACCCCGCGCCAACCGCCTCAATCTGAGTTTCAGAGGCTGCCAAACAACAACATGCACCACGTCATCGGCAACATGGCAATGCTCGTTCACCGCGCACTCGGCGCACCAATCGAATACATCTTTGACATGTCTCTCCTCCTCCGCCCGGACGAGAAACTGAGTTCACCAGCTGCAACAATCCCTTCACGCAGGATGGGGAGTTTGTCTTCGACAAGCACGAGCAAGACTGGGATTTGCCAACACCCCTACTTAAGTCGCCACCGCACGACGAAGATTTCATCAACTCACCATCAAGCACAAACTACTTCTTTGGACACTACATAGACACCCGACCCGTTGACAACTACCGCTATGCTGGCGACAAGCGCATTCCGTTTCGCAACACCCCAAACCTTGCGCATTCGGCACAACATCGCGCCGACACCTATTATACGTGGTATCTCAACAGCTGCTGCGGGCAATACATGGTCGGGTCCAAGCGCTTCATCTCCAACGCACGACCCAACCTGCAACCCACCATCATCACCGTGGCCAACATTCAATAGCTTAAAGCACGTGCATGCGGCATTGTCATACTCAAAGCTCACGACAGCGACATTCACGTTATGCTCAATGGGGTTCTCATCGTGCAAGATCTTAAGTACAATCTCCTATCGTACGAACAACTTGTCAACAGTAGCGTTCTTATGAGCACAGACCTGGAAAGTTGTTGCATCCTAATGTACTAGAAGGATTACAGCTGCGCTGACTCCGAACCACGCTACATCGGCAAGGCATGCCCTGACAACGGCATCTACATCTTAGACTTTGACATCCCAGACTGCCGCGCGCTGACTCTGAGTACCTCATTGATCTTCAGCCCCTGAAAGCTGTGTGGCCTCATGAGCTTGCTCACCCCAACGAGCGCCCTTGTGTCAAACATCACGCTCACCCTAGAGAGATTAACCTGCATGCTCCTAGACCTGATGGACTCTGCTGCAACTGCCGCACACCAACAGCCTCCACCACAGAAGACAAAGCTGACAAAGGGAAAGCATTGGCAGATGAGAAGGGCAAGGCGCCAGCTGACGAGGGAGAAGCATTAGCTGCAGCAGAAAGGGGCAGAGCGATGGCAGAAGAAAAGGGGGAAGGAAAGGTCAGCGACAATGAGGAACCTCTTGAGGAAGTAGACTCATCTGAGGAGGAGGAATCCACAACCATGCAACCTGACGTCCTGGACATCGTGGAAGAAGCGAAGTGGCTAACCCCCCACCCATCCAGCATGAGAGATGCCGAACCCGCAGGAGCTTTAACCATCTTCCAACCGTGCAAGACTCATACTGACCCCACTGTCCATGACCGAATTCACCTCCTCGCACGCTATACGGGACCTGGGGCCTTTGACCACAACAACAATCCTTTGCCCTTGGATTGGGAGACTTATCACATCACTCACCCGTGGTCTCGTGGCAACATGACCTCTGCGGAGCTCCAACGCCTTGAGGAAGAAGAACGCGCAGACGCTGAAGCAAAAGCAGCGGCGGCACCTGCCAACGGCGGATGGGGGAGTGGAACTGGCGCAACAGGAAGGGGCGGAACGGCACCAACAACAATCTGGGGAACAGGTTTGTGGGGAACCACACCAGCAGAGGAAGAGGAGGAACCGATTGAAGAAGCCATAGCCCGCGCGGAAAAGGAGGCGGCTGAAGCAGCAGCACGACCCTATGGGTCCCCACGACCCATAGGCATCCCCTCTCCATGACACTTGTCCCCCAGCGACTCCTGGGCCTCCTCCAAATCTTCCAGACCTCCCTCAGATCATAATACCATAGTGCCTTACCCTGATTATCCACTTAGTCCACTGCCCACTGAGTCAACACCCATCGGCCCCCATGATCCAGCCATCGCTGATCCATTTACCATCCATGGAGTGCCACCAAATCATATCCCACGTCCCAACCTTCTTGAAGGAACAGCGGACATAGATGATCTCACCACCCCACTTGCCGCCATCACCGCAGTGGAGCCAACCCTACCTCTCTCTACTAGGGATCTCATCCTCGCCCTCGGTCTCTCCATTTCGCCACAACCAATCCCACAGCCTCCATCCACCAGCAATGCTGAACTCCACGCATTCTATGCCCGCTCACCTGCCATCCGCGCCCCTTCTGACCTCTGGCATAAGCGCATTGGTCACCCTTTACAGGAGATCCTCAACAATTGCATCCGTGCCAATGTCTTCATCTCCGGCACCCTGCTCCGCCTCGACGGCACACTTGTCCCCATTGACACATCTCGCCACACCGATTGCACCATATGTCCTGAAGCTGCACTAAACCACATGCCCTTCAAACTCCTCGATCCGAGCACAAACCGTTATGCCAAGCTCCATTAGGTATACAGTGACTTCCTTGTCCTCACCCAGACAGGCATCAATGGCGAGGAATATATCCTTACCTTCGTCGACGCCTATTCCCGCTTCATCTGGGTGGCCAATGTCTCTCACAGGAGCAAGGCGTATGACATCTTCAAAGTTTGGCACAGCAACAAGACCCAATCCGGCTGCAAACTCAAGCTTTGGCAAACTGACAGCACAGCTGAATTCAAATGTGACACACTGGCGGCATACATTCAAGACAAAGGGATCATCCATAAACTCACTCTCCCATACGTGCACCCACAAGGTGTCGCCGAGCGCACCAATACAGCCCTGATGACGAAGGTCTGCACCCTGCTGCAGCAAAACGACGTTGACGCGAAGTACTGGCCCTACGCCTTGTATCACAATGTCCGTCTTCACAGTCTGGTCAGTACTACCGCCAACACCGACAACCTGTCAATGCACATTAAGTTCACTTGCATTAAGGGTGACATCTATATGCTCCGCATCCGGGATTGGATGGTGCAATATTGGCCTGCAACGACAAACACGAGGAAGTTCGAGCGTCGTGCCCACTGGGGAGTGCACCTCGGCATCAGCTTCAAGCACCATGCCTGGAACATCCTCGATCATGATACCTCTTTGGTGGTCGCGGCGCATGACGTCATCTTTTTTTTAGACCTCACCATCCGCAAGTTCTTGGGCGATCGCCACGTCAATCGCACCAGACGGGAAAACAACATTGCAAGCTACGAGCGCCCCCCTCGCAGCTTCGCAGCCCCTACCGACGAAGAAGAAGCGGCACTCACGGACCAGGATCCCACAGACTCACATCTCGGCCCTCGCCCATGATGCAACGAAGATGACGATGAAGACAGTGCTCTGCTCGACTCCTCCCGCGACTCCCTGCCCAACCCCACCCCCTCTTTCGCTCACG